TGCAGCAGGAGAACAGCATTCTGAGGGATGCCCTGAACCAGGCCACCAGCCAGACCGAGAGCAAGTGAGCAATCCGGGGGGGGCTTCCTCCTACTCTCATATACCCTCATCTGTACTCCCAGGACCAACTGCCTTTGCCCATGGCAGACGCACAATGAAATATTTTGTTGCATGCTTGCTATAATAAGAAATTGGCTAACAATGCAGAGTGGTAATTGAGCACTGTCACACTGGCTGATTTTTAGACCCTACTCATGCAGCATGGGCCCTGTGGCGGTATGGTAATGGGGATGGCATACTTTGTTCCTCTTCAGTTTGAATTCAGCAGTGCTTTTGGAAGGAGCCTCATGCGCTTGGAAGATAACATTGGTTTAGATGAAAAAGGCATTATCAGGCAGGATATTATAGCTTTATCTACTGTACTCTTCGAATATGAACATAATGTAGTTGGACTATTCATCAGTTGACTTTTGCATATACAAAAGGCATCTGTATTTTGCCTGGAATGTTTTAAGAGGCAGTGAGTTTAATACATAGGCTCACATTGTATCATTGTGCGCTAAAGAGGAGCCATGCTCACTGAAAATGAGCTCCGTTTACAGCACATGCCTTTTGTGATTAAAAAGCCTCTGACTCAACTTGTCACATTCTCTCATCATGCCAGACTCTGTGGGCGTGTAGATGTTTTTGTACATGATGCACGCTAAACTCTCATTGGTGTTTTTCCCCCATGTGATATTTCTGGACCAATTGCAGACAAGTGTGTATTGTATGTGAGGAGAGAATGTACGTGCACTGCAAAGAGAGGCTTGCATGTGGAGGCTGAGACAGCTGGCAGCCTCATACACAATTAAATGAATGGGAAGGAGGTGGACATACTTGACTCTTGATTTCTGCTGTTGAACTTAATGTATGAAACAGCTGTCTCACTGGTAGACTGCAGTTGCTAAGCAATCAAAATAAACATGTAAAGTGTAAAAAAATGACTAAAAAAGGTTTAAATTTGCATGTGCAGCACAATTTTACTTTCTAATTCCACATAACACTACTTCATTTTGCGTATTTGAAATGTTTTGCATGAGTCTGAAGCCCAACAAAATTCGTTTTAGCCATGCATCAGGTCAGAGAAGCAGTGGCGGTAGAATTCTGCGATGCAGACATGCAGATATTGTAAATGAGTTCAGGTGCCTCAAGCGGTATCCCCGAACCTTTGCTGTGGAGGCTTGTCGTAACCGCTTCTGCTTTAAGCGGCTTCTGCCTGTCGTCCCTCAGGCAAAACTCAGAGCTGGCCAAGCTGCGGCAGGAGTGCGCCAAGATGAGCAAGGACCTGGCAGAGAAGAGCGAGGCTCTGCAGACGGAGGAGCAGCAGAGGAAGACCCTGGAGGCCAAGGTGTTGGCCTCGGAGAAGCAGCTCGCCCAGATCCAGGTTAATGTGTCCCCTGTCCCCCTGGGGGGCAGGGTGGATTTCCCCTGGGTGTGGGAGGCGCACTGCTGTCTGCTGCTCAATTAATTTGCTCTGTTTGAGCTGGTAATAGAACATGCTCATCTGGATTTTCTGTCATTAAAGAAACACCTACATGAGTCCTTTTGATAATGATATGTTAATGGAGGTATTAGTTATTACAGAAAAATGTAAGTCGAAGTTATTTATGTTAATTTGAGCTCTCTAAACAAATTAGTAATACAGAGAGGTGTCTGACTGTTAGAGTAATTGTTCAATGGGAGCAATGAATTGATCAACTAATTATTGCTCTCTAAATTTGATTCAATATGGAGATATTAACAAAAAAGTGTTGAATAAATAACTGTGTTGAGTAACACAAACACAAACTCTAGAGCTCATTAATTTAGAGCAATCTATGATGTCAAAAACTGTGTCAATTAACAGATGTTGTTTAAAGGCTCAGACTGAATTAGGAAAACTCAGCTGGAATGAAAACTAGCATACACACCATGCCCTATATCACAATGCATGCACATACATTTGTTTTGCTAATTTTCTGTGCATGGTGTCATTCCTTTCCATGGTTTTCCTGGAACCACTTCCATTCAAGTTTGCTGCCTTGATTCCATTTAACATTGGGGCTCCTGCATGGCCCACAGTAATTAAATAAGCTCAGATACCCCTCTGGTATTTTAGTTCTTAATAGGAATGTCCATGTCATGTTGGAATGTAAGATATCTGCATAATCAGGCGGCCATTCCTTGCAGATGGGTTCAATCTCTCAGCGTATTAACCATTTGAAGGTGCGCTGTGTAACACAATTTGGAATTTGAGTGTGTCTGTGTGACCTTAGGCTACAGTGAGAGCTCTCTTCTCAGATGGACCCGCTGGTTCTATGGGTCATTCCCTCTGGTATTCCACAAGGATCAGAAGTTGACCTGTTTAATCATTAGTTGGTGGGCTGCGCTAGTTAATCATCCATGCTTAATATGTAACTCAGGCTTTTCCCGTTACAGACTGTGTTCCTATCATGCCATTCCTCCTTCCTTTGAGCCTTGTCTCATTCATACCAATCTTACTACTGCTCCAGATGTGTTTTACATGAGGAAAAAGGAGATGTGAGGTTTTTTTAATTTTTTGGTGGGCCAAAAGTGTTTTTCTTGAGTGATTTTCTTTGTCTTGTTTCTGCTCTTCCCCTTGATGAATGTGTTGCTCTTGAACTCACTGCCAGGGAAGACTCTATTGAGCAGCTTAACTGCCCTTGATGCTAAATGTTTGCTGTGTTCATAACCATACTAACATGCAGGGTTACACAGTTGAAACAGTTGTATGTAGGCCCCTTCACTCCAACTGCAGTTGAAAGGTATCCATGTGGAGAAGTGCAACCAGAAACAGTGCTGGGGGAAAAAGGGGGCAGCTTGCCTTCCTCGACACTTTGTGTCTGAACTGTGTTCCCGCCCATTGCGTCTCAGGCCGGTCAGGCGGACAGCGAGCTGGCCCTGCAGAGGAGGCTGGAGGAGGTGAGCGAGGCGCTGCGGGCGGCCCAGAGCAGCAGCAGCAGCCTGCAGGCCGAGCTGGAGAAGGCCCGGCAGGAGGCGGCCACCCTCACTGGTCAGTACCCACACCCCACCGCTGCCAGGGGATCCGCCTTTAGCATCACGACTGGGCTCGGCCTGGGCATATTCTCTGGCTCTGCATGGTCTTACGGCAGTCTCAGTGTGGTTGAAGCAGGAAAATGCCCGTTCTTTTATTGTGTATTATACCACGGCTTGGTTAACTACTTGTTTCTGATTGGCTGGAGGGGTGTGCATTATTTCCCAGTAAATGCACGGTAATAATGCACGGCTATGAAGTAGTTCCAGTGAAAGTGGCCTTATCACCGTTTGAAATTAATACGCAAGCTCATTCAACTTTACTGAAGATTCCATTTACAACCAACATAACAGCAACATTGTAATAACATTAGATAACATTACAGTTAACAGCAGCGGTCATGAAGCAACGGCGACTGCCACAGCGAGATCAGAATTTCAAACGTCAAGTCTCCCACGTACCTCGTTTGATCTACCATTTTCAATGTCAAATTTTACAATAAATGGAAATGTTCAATTTAATTTCAATAAATGAGTACGATGTAGCTTATAGTCATGTATGTTTAAACATATGTACGTATGTTTAAGATGATGGACACAAATGTAACGTTATCCACTTCACCAGCTAAGCGGACACTGTCTAGCTGGCTATATCAGAAATTTCTAGTTAGTGGGCTAAGTTACTGTAGTTTCAATAGCCTAAACCTAGATGTGTAACGTTTAGTATTTTTTAATGTAGGCTAACATAGTACACGACTGGCGGTGCAGTTCTATGTAAATAAACTTGGCTTCACCGTGGGGCTGCATCACACCACCCTGTTGTGGTTTATTTCCATAGAACTGCACCGCCAGTCGTGGTTTATTTCCTATCACGCGACCCTTTGGGATCATGTATGGGGGAGTGCAGTTTTTATAATGAGACTTGATGTCCTTGGCATTTTATTCAAACCATCCAACTTAGTTAGAACAGTTGTTTGACCTAAATGCTGTAATGTTTTCTAACATGTATACAAACACAGTATTTTATTAGTCTTTGGATAAAAAAAAACAGTATTTATTTATGCAATGGATTAAAACATACATTGAGGGGTCTAAACAGTTACACAGCAATATGTAATGCATACATTTTAAGCTTGAAGGGGGAGTCTCAAATGTCATTGCATTTCTGATGGGGGCTTTGGGTTCACAAGAAAGTTTTAAATCCAGTTCTAAAGGGCTCTGTGCCGAAGGTGTTCAATCACTGATACAGCACAGATACGCAGCGCTGCAGTAACAGACCTGGTCATCGCCTCCGGTGCACATGCACGCCGTTGACCTTTTTGTTTAACGAGGCATGACCTCAGTGCCGCCACTCCCCACAGAGCTGCGGTCACGTGTGGACACAGCCGAGGCGGAGCTGAAGGAACGCTGTGCCCTGGTGGAGGACCTGCAGGCCCAGCTGAAGCAGGCAGAGGCCGACAAGGCGCAGCTGCTGGAGAGGGTGGCCTCCATCGATACCCTGCTGGAGGCCGGGCAGAGCAAGGCTGCGCAGGCAGAAGAGCAAGAAGCTCAGGTGGGGCCTGGAGATATGTCTTCATCCTGGGAGAGAGAGAGCCCATGGGAGGTGGAATCCAGCTGCAACCCTTGCTCTTCATTGGCTGTCCTCTTAGACAAGGCCTTGATAACCTTTCATGGTTTTATGGCTTCAGAAGTATTTCCCGCTTCCCATTTCCTGCTTCATCTTTGAGGACAAAGTACATCAGAGGCCTCATTTCAAATCATTCCAGCTGTAGCAGTCTTGGAGATGGTGTTCAGTTATATAGAAATCTTGTGACTTCCAGATTTTTTTCTGGAATATTTTTACTACATTTTTTTCTAACATGTTTCTGATGCCACAAATATGTTTGCCAGGGATGATGCCCCAAGTCATGCTATTTCCTATGTGTTTGGCTGTTTTGGGGTGGTAGTGTAGCATAGTGGGGTGGCAGTGTGTAGCATAGTGGTTAAGGAGCAGGCCTCATAAGCGAAAGGTTGTGGGTTCGATTCCCCACACAGGTGCTGCTGCTTTACCCTTTGGCAAGGTACCTAACCCACAACTGCCTCAGTAAACATCCAGCTGTATAAATGGATAACATTGTAAAGCCCTGTAATTGATGTAAGTCGCTCTGGATAAGAGCATCTGTTAAAAGCCAATAATGTAATGTTTTTCCATTTATATTTTTACAGGTCAAAGAAGATGCAGAAATGGAGTTGGTACAGAACAGGTATGATCAGTAAGTAGTTCTCTTTCATTGTTTTCTCAAATGTTCACATTTATTGTTATCTAAAAATGTACATTTTTTAGTCTTAAGGAAAAAGAGAGTCAAGTGAAATCACTGGAAGAAGAACTTAAGCAACTGAAAGAAGAGCTGGAACAAGTAAAGAACACAAGAGCAGTAAGTGTTACCTCTTTGTGAAAGCCTCTGAGGTGATAATGTAAAACTAATTTCATACTGCAGCAAGTGTGTAGAACTCGCCTTGGCGATGCATGGTGCCATTGTCACCACAAGAATCTCTGGTGTTTAATCATAGTGCATACAGAATAACCTTTACAGGGAATAAGACGTTTCTTTAACACTTTACAATACAAACAAAATATTCTGATGTCTCAAGTGCTTTTACCCTCTTGCAGTTTTTGTGGGCTAACCAATTAATGACTGATGGTGTTCCGCAGGAAGGGTTTTGATAGTTCTGAATTCCATGATATTGCTGCAGAGTATTCTATTGTATTCTACTAGTTCTGTTAAACTACCTCCTATGTTTTGAGTATTTTATGTTAAACTATATATACATACACACATTATATATAAATATATATATATAATCTCGGCATCATTTAAGTGCATGTTTGTATGCCAAAGATTAGGCTGCAATGATGTCCTGACAACCTGTGTTTTGTGGCAGTTATGTTACCAACCAATCTGTTTGAGATGATGGAAACAGGAAGATGATGTTGAAATAGTCGTGAGATCTTAACTGTTAGACATTGTTCAGTAATGTTTGAAAAGAAAGTCTTTTGCCTTTTGATTTTGATGATTCAAAAGGCATTAGAGGGCAAAGATGGGAAGGACCTGGACAAATGGAAAGTATATTGTTTCTGATCATGTCTCTTCCTAATGCAATTTTAGCAGCCTGACAGCACGACAGAGGTGGATTCACAGCAGAACGGGTGTGTTAAGATCACATACACATTCTTGCATTCTTAAATTTCTTGTATTCTTGGTCACAGTGCATTTTCAGTAGCAAATGTATTGTTATATTGTTATCAATTTATGTTTGTAACAATTCATTTTTACTAGTGTTTACTAAAAAGAAAACATGTATTTTGTGAGTCTTTTGTGTGTCTTGTTTAATTCTTAAACACTGACCTGGATTGTTGGGTCAGCTTACTTTACCTTTGCAAAAAATCATTTATGTTATCTAGAAAAGTGTCAGTAAGGGTTTGATCATTTTTACTGCACCTTCTTTCAGGCTTTTGGAAAAAGACAGCCATGTTTCATCACTGGAGGAAGAGCTTAAACAACTGAAGGAAGAGATGGAACAAGTGAAAAGCATAAATGTAAGTTCATCTTTCACGAGTGACCATCTTTGAATATGAAGTCATTATGAAGAGCGGTGTCAGTGGCTCTTGGAGTGGTCATCCCTAAAATGCATTTTCTGCCATATTTAGTGACTGAAAGTCATCATATTTTATCACTCCCTTTATGAATTTACCAACCGTAGCCACAAAATGTTATTCAGAGTTCCTCTACAAATCATCATAAATGTAGCGTAAGGGGAAAAAAAATGCAGCCTAGTTGCATTGTTGCTTGTGCTGGCTTCCAGGATCTGTTGGGCTCCCGGTATTATTCTCGCAGTCTTTCCTAACTGACATTTTCTGTCAATATTTCAGCAGCCTGACATCACAGCAGAGACTGAGCAGCTACAAAACAGGTATGTGTGTATTTCTTTATAGCTGTTTTCTCATATGAACTCCGGACAATGTCCGGACCTGATTCTCCCTTGCCCTTTCACACATGTAGCACACGACAGGAGATTGTCCGTGTCAGATGCATTCTCACCTACTGGAAATACTCCATTTGGTTTAGGTGAGGGGTGGCGCCTGGGTTAGAGCGTGCAGGAGGCAGGACATGAGGCAAAAAGTACGCTGCGGAAATCGCAGTGTTTTGTTTACAGCACATCGGTTACATAGCCGGTTCGTAATTTGGTCATAAACAACTGGGTCTCTTGCCGTTCCTTGAATGTGTCTGACGCTTTCGCCATCGGCCCTTACTGACAGAAGTTTCCGAATCTCGTCGTCTCTCCAGTTAGACATTTTCGTCGGCGTCTTCATGTAAATGACCCTTCTTCACCTTCAGATGTTTGTATTCTTCCGGTTTCGCGCCAGTCGCATGATAGAAGCGTCATCAACATGCCCGCTTGCCCACTGTGAATTCTCCGGACAATGACCTGCTTTATTCACACATGGACCCAATCGGACATTACATGCACTTTGTACTAGGGAGCCGGCAGGGTAAAGTCCGTTTAATGTCTGGTCCAACTGATTCGGACATTTGCGTTCTCACATACAGCTCCTCCGGGTAATGTCTAGATAAGTTCAGGGTTGCAGTACATGTCTGAAAGGGGCTTATGACTACATGCTTCATTCTGTTACTTTTCTGTGTTGTCAAATCATGCATATCCATTGTGCTGTCAGTCTTTTGGAAAAAGAGAACCAGGTAACATCACTGGAACAAGAGCTTAAACAGCTGAAAGAAGAGATGGAGCAAGTGAAAAACACAAACTCAGTAAGTTCACCACCTTAATGAAAACTCTGTTTTTATATGTATTACATGTATGTATCTGTAAAATTATACAAAAAATACCCACATGCTCTTCAGAATGTTTTAGCTTTTCATTGTATTTTTTTCTTGTTCATCCTTCTGTAACTGCTGTTGCCCTAGATACGGTTATATCCAAATATTTTTGTGTGTGTCTTTACTTCTTTTGATGCGTTTTGTTACCCTTCCTAATGGACTTTTAATTTTAGCAGCCCAATGTCACTGCAGAGACTGAGTTACTGCAAGAAAGGTATGTGGTGTTTTCTGGAAGAATTTCTAACTTTATTGGAGAATTAATTTAATAATGCGTAACATGTCCATGTTGCTTTTAGTCTGAAGGAAAAAGAAAGTCAGGTTTTGTCATTAGAAGAAGAACTTAAACAGCTAAAAGAAGAGATGGAGCAAGTAAAGAACACACTAACTGTAAGTTTAACACCTTTTGAAAGCTTTTGTACTGTTAAATATTTGAACGATCCAGTAGCTCTTCATTTCAAATTCACGATTTGAACAGTTTCTCTGTAAAAAAGACATAATGCTGCCAAGACATTTTTCTTGCATCTTGAATCTAATGCAAATGATCAATTTTCATTTGAAGTGAGACCTACAGGTGTACAATCATTCTGAAATTTAATGTTGCTTCCTTATGCTGTGTTATTGCCGTGGTCTTTAGTAATGGCCTTTTCTGTTCAATTTTTTAACAGGCTGACATCACAGCGGAGACTGAACAGCTACAAAGCAGGTATGTGGTGATTTTGTTATGGCAGTATGGATAATTTTTACTTTCTTCTTCTGAAAATCTGTGTTCATTGTGCTTTCAGGCTTTTGGAAAAAGAGAACCAAGTGGCATCACTGGAAGAAGAGCTTAAACAGCTGAAAGAAGAGATGGGACAATTAAAGAGCACAGGCACTGTAAGATTTCTGCCTTTTGAGCTGCTGAAAAATATTATAAAATCCCCACGCTGACTTCATATTCAGGATTTCAACTTTTCCTAGTAGTTAACTTTTTTAATGACCTGGCTTCAGACATCTGAAGGTTTAGTGTTGTCTAATTCCATGTTAAAGCTAGCCTGAACTGAGATATGCCTCAGTATTGCTGGATCACTGGTTCCAGGCCAGGTGGAAATGGGCGTCTTATTGTCTTGCTGTGGAATTCAGCATCGGGATGTTCATTTACGCACCATGGTGTAAGCGTCCCATAAGTAAGCAGTGGAAGATCTGTGCTTCTCTTTATGTTGAAGAAACTTATAGGTGTAAAAGTTAATTTGACTGCCACTTTCATCATTCCAAAGGCTTAATGAATGACGCTTCACTGAACTCCTTACTTTCTAGCTGCATTTGTATGTATGGATATGAAGGTTTACTGACTGACTATACTCTGGGTATGCTTCTGCGGGGTTAGCTGATGGCTCACTTGCTAATTAAACATGATTTCATTGCTGTCCACTTAATAGATCTGGCACCAGATATGCTTGCAGAATTCAACAAAATTGTGAACAACTTTTTTCATTTCCATCAAGCTCATATGATTTGGGAAGGGTGGACTTAAATGAGGCATGATATTGGGTCAGAACTGGGGTGTCTTGGATCAGCAGTAATCTAGAAAAACTCAGGGCCCTTTTAATGGTTCTTGAGTCCATTCCATTAAAATGCACTATATGTTAATTTTCAAGACAGATTTTGAGATTTTGTACTTCCAGATGTTTCACCTTAGAATGGGGTGTGTTGAATCAGCTGTTGTTCAATGCTGCTTTTTGTGACCATCTGTACTAATGGGCTTTTCTTCAAATACATATTTTAGCAGCCAGACATCACAGCAGGGACTGACCTCCTTCAAAGCAGGTACACAACAAATTTCTCATGCCTTCTATGCATTGCTCAGTTTTAAAATGCTGTTATGTATATAACAAAAAATAAATGTTTTGTGCTTCCAGCCTCAGGGAAAGAGAAAGCCAGGTGACATTGCTTGAAGATGAACTTAAGCAGCTGAAAGAGAAGATGGAGCAAGTAAAGAGAGAGAGTAGTGTAAGTAGCTGTCTATATACCCTTTCACCATTCACTTGCTATTCTGTGACTGAAGTGACATTTTTGCAGGTTTTGCTAGTTTGCTCAGTGAAACAAAACTCCAACATAGTAATTTGTGTATTCCAAGCTTTTTTAAAGGATATATTTGAAAATGTAATATTATAATATTAACACG